TTTGAGTTGCGGGGACGGGGACGGGTATCATAAAACCCGTACCCGCCCCGCCCCGTTGCCATCCCTAGTCTTAATGTTCAGGGTACTCGGTCATATCTTCTCGGCTTACCCCTCTCAAAGCTTATCTCGGATTATATTCGGGATGACTTGCCCACCTATAAAGAGAAAGGGCTAGTTGAAGTTGACATATATCCCTTCCTAAATCTTAAATCTTAAATCTTAAAAAAAAAAATCAAAAGAAATAAAAAAAAATTAAAACATTTGTTATAAAAATAAGAAAAACAAATTCCAAAAATTCTTGTGTTGTAAAAAAAAATTATATTTTTATTGAGTAATAGCTCTTAAAAAAAATTCTTTACTTTAAGAATAACTTCATAAAATATTGTCATTCAATAAAAATTATCATTTTTAGGAGTTATTCTTCAATACAGTAATTTTAGAAATTATTAATAATTAAAAAATAATCTTGTATCATAATATAATTTCTTCATCATAAATATATAATATAATTATATGTTAAAAGATATTTATTTTTTATAATTAATTTATATATTCAAAATATTTATTTATTATGAACTTTAATCATTGTTCTTGTCAAAATCTTTTTGTACTTTGTTAGGTTGAAGGGATGATATCCTGACAGTGGAACACACATACAAAAAAGACTAATAATGCTGATGATATCCTGACAGTGGAGCACACGTACAAAAAAGTGACTATAATGCTCAAGTGAGAAGTGGTCTCACATTGAATAATGAATTAAGTTTAGAAACTATACTTATACTCCTTTAAATAAGTGTTAAATCTTATCTTGAAGATAAGATATTTTTGAATAAATGAGTTAAAACGTTTAAGATATAGATAATACAATAATTTTATAACTGCCAAGTGAATCTAACTGTTATGGCCATGTTGGTGGAGGATTACGAGATGCATACCGAAATTCTCGCCCGTTGTTTATTCTTAGTGAAATGTTCTCAGTAATTGTCTCAAGCCAGTTACCTATGCATGAATCAACTCTCTAGCTTGAGATGGACAATCTCTAAGAGCATTTGCAATCGGGGTTGCTTATAAGCAATTCCTGTGCCATATCACTGTCACATCAGCTCTGGCCTACTTTATGGGTTGCTTAAATTTTATCAGAATTACTTATAGAAGTAACTTTGTTAAAATTTAAACAACCCATAAAGTAAACTAGAGCTGATTTGGCAGTGATGTGGCACAGAAAATTATTTATAAGCAACTCCCATTGGAGATGCTCTAAGTCTAACCAACATACCTTTGATGTGTCCCACCCAGACAACTATTGTGTTATGGTGATAGAGTTAACATGAAGTGTGGCTTGCCCTACAAGTGCACACTTATAACAATTTTTCAATGACAAGCCATTTTAACCGTCAGATGAAAGGGTACCACTTGAGGTCACTTAATGTAAGAGGAGCACATTTTCACCTTCACATTGCCTCACATGGGGTTCCATCATTTCTTATACCCTTTAGTTTCTCTTTCTCCTACTTCTCCATTTTTTCATTTTTCTCCCTAGTACCCTTGTTTTATAGTGTGTTTGAATGGAAAATTTAAATGAAGTAATTTATTTATTTAAAAAATTTTAAATTTTTTGCGGTTAAATATATACTTTATTTGGATAGAAAATTTATAAAGAATTTGAAATTCAAGCATTTGTGAAATTCTTTGAAATAGTAAAATTTCAAATTCTCCAAAAAAAAAAGTAAGAATTTAAAATTCCTCATAATTCTTTTCTTATTTCACTTATATATCTTATTTTTATCTCTTATCGATCTCTTCATTCTTTTAATTATTAAATATTTAAAAATATTTTTTAAATTATTAAATATTATCTAATATTAATTTTTAAAATTATTAAATATTTTTAAATTGGTTAATATTTTATTTTTATAAAATTTAATTTAAAAATCTCAACATATGAATATATTTTTAAAATCAATTTTATCATGGTGGAATCAAATTATCATATCAAAGTTAAAGATTTAAAATTGACTTATCCAAACAAAATATTTTTAAAATTATATAAATTGAAATCATAGTAATTCAAATACCAAGAATTTTATTAAATTCCTTGAATTTTTAAAATCCCTCATCCAAACACACCATTAGTGTTTTTGTTTCAACCATTGATGCAAAACTTTCATCTTACCCTCACATCCATGTTCTCCATTTCGAGTTCATATTTTTTAACAAACTTTTGAAGAACAAGTTTTTAAAGAGCAACATATACATGTTTTGATGATTCCAAAAGCCTCTCAGAAAGACTGAAAATTGTATTGAATGATTAGTTGTGTATTTTTGTATGTTTAGGAGTAGTTCAATCTAAATTTGGGTGACAATTGATGACATAAGATTAAAATTCAATTAGGACAAAGCTATATAAGATTAAAATCCAAGTTTTGGTAGAATACAATATCAAATTTGTAGAAAACTAAGTTTACTTAAAATAATCAACTACCAGCTTAACACAACAATTATTATGCTCTATTTGTCATAATAGAGGTAAGTAATTCTCAAATAATTGATTATTTGATGAAATAATCAACTAGTTTCAAAATTATTAGTTTTGCAAATAATCGATTATTTGAGATAAGGATCTCTTTTGTATTTGAGAATCTTGTTCAAGTTATCAATCCCAAAACAAACTTCGTGAAATTTTCTTTCAAGGTTTAAACTTCTTTATGAATTTCTAATAATTCATCAGGATGTGTATCCTTTGGATTCTCTCGTGGCTTAGTTTTTTTTCAAACTTGTGTTTTGAAAAAAAAGATCTTTTTTCTCTTTTTGTAAAAGTTTGTAACCAATTTGAGTTTTAAAACTTTCTTTTTCAAATATTTATAACCTTTTGAGAAAACTGAAGAATTTGAAAAAAAAAAAAAAAAAAAAGATGGTAAGCTTCTTGTAATTTAAAAAGGTTTTCAAGACATGTCTTTTCCTTTTACACTTTTATCTGAGAAGATAAATCCAAGTCTTTCCATGTAGCCATTAGACCATTCTTCTTGTTGTTGAAAAATCTTTTTTTCTTCCTTTTTATAATGTGGAACATTCAACTTTGAAATGTATTGGCTTTTTACATTCATGACAAACTATAGGACCTTTATCCTTGGGTTCTTTAGAATGTTTCTTATTGAGGTTTTTCCATCTAGATCTACCATTCTTTCTTCACATGAAGTGAATCTTTCATGTTATGGGAGATATCTTATCCATGTCAGAGTCATCCTTCTCGATTTGTTCATCAGATGATTCTTTGACTTTGAAAGCTTTTAATGAAGATCTTTTGTGACCCTTTTGTGTGACATCTTTCTACCCCAAAGCATAATAAATAATTATTTTTATAATAAAACTGTTAAATTAGAAAAACTTGTAAAATTTCTTAAAACTTAACTCCTTTAATAAAAAGGTTCAGAACACTTTGAATAAAACTTTTATATAGAAAGATATACAAATAGCAACATAAATTCAAATCAATGCACAAATCGTCCCTTTATACAAAACCTTCTAAAACATAATCCATCGTAAAATAAATCAAGTTCCATCTATAACAAAGTAAACAAGACAATGTCCACTAGCCCCCGATGTCATAATATCAAAGCAAGACCTAACACCAACTAAACACTAAGCTTCTATGCCATCATACTCATCATCTTATACTTACTTTACTTTTGTAAATAGTGATCAACATAAACACACACAACAAAAAAACACAAGGAGTAAGAATACATCTCATCAATGTATAACACATATAAGACATAAGGATAACACTAAACATGACATACATCATACTTAAGTTCCATAAATGCATCTATATTCGTATCCAACATCCAAGGCAACACTCGCCTCAAATACATTAATCATTTTACATTCACTCATTATCAACAACAATTATTCATGTAACCTAATCAATCATAATTATAATATATATATATACTTGTGCAAATGCCTGTGCTTAATTCTATATGCATGTGGTATATCTCTTCATCATCATCATCATCTCAAGATAGCCTAAGAGCCATAGAATGGGACCATCCTATTGATAGGGAAATAAATTTCCCAAACTTGCAAGAATCTGTGAGGAGCAACAACCAATGAAAAACAATAATAAATCACCAAAAATCACACACAAAGACACCAAGATTTTTAACGTGAAAAACCCCTCAAAGTAAGGGTAAAAACCACGAGTAGTCCATACCAAAGAAATAGCTCCACTATGATCAACAAAGAGTACAAAAGAGTCTCAGTCTACTGCACAAAATAGTGCTAACACCTAGCCAAACAACAAAGCAATAAAGCTTACAAATAGAGAACAAAGAAGATGAAAAAACTCCAAATACACAGCTACAGTGCGAACTGAATATTTCCCTACTTAGACCTCGTTTCAACGATCCAACCGGTCAGAATGAAGAATCGGATGTCACGAACCTTCTATCCAATTTTTAGCCCGATCCAACGGTGAACGAATCTGCAGTACTGATTTTACTATCGCAGCTCTGTGTAAAAACGAGAATGACTTTCTCTCTTCCTCTCTCTCAAAGTGCTGGTGCTCTCAGTGACTTCTGACTTTCCCTCTTTTTCTCTTACCCACTTCAGACTCTCTCTCCACTTAATTAAGTGAGACATCAAGTGGGCTTCTCAATTTTGGGCCTTTTCTCCACATAGGAAGGGAGCCCAATACCCAACAAATCTCCCCCTCACAAGTATGTGGAGATAACCGCCAAACCGGCGATCTCACAACAAATTTTAAATTTTTCTCTTGGCAATGCTTTAGTCATCATATCAGCCCCATTATCATCAGTATGAATTTTAGCCAACTCCAACAGCTTAGCATCCAAAGCATCATGTATCCAATGATACCTTACATCAATATGTTTGGACCTAGAATGAAAAGTTGGATTCTTGCCAAGATGTATAGCACTCTAACTATCAATAAATAAAGGGTATTTGTCCTGCACAAAACCAAGCTCCTGCAAGAATTTCTTCAACCATAACAACTCCTTGCATGCTTCAGTAATGGCAATGAACTCCGCCTCTATAGTAGACAATGCTACACACCTTTGCAGCCTTGATTGCCAAGCCACAGCTCCCCCTGCAAACTTAATCAAATAGCCCGAAGTGGACTTTCTGGAATCAACATCTCCAACCATATCTGAGTCTGAGTAACCCACCAAAGTAGGCTTATCCCCTCCAAAACAAAGCTTCATATCAACAGTACCATGAAGATACCTCAGAATCCATTTCGCAACATTCCAATGCTCTCTACCTGGGTTTGACAAAAATCTACTGACTGTACCAACAGCATGTGCAATATCTGGTCTAGTACACACCATTGCATACATCAAACTACCCACTGCAGATGCATAAGGAACTCTCTCCATGTCTAATTTCTCAGCTTCATTAGAAGGACTCTGTTTAACACTCAATTTAAAATGAGTAGCAAGAGGAGTGCTCACAGCCTTAGCATTTTCCATCTGGAATCTCTGCAACACCCTTTTAATATAATGTTCCTGTGATAGCCAAAGCTTCACTTTCTCTCTGTCACGAATGATTCTTATACCAAGAATCTGTTTAGCAACTCCCATGTCTTTCATGGCAAATGACTCGCCCAATTGCTTCTTTAACCTGTCAATCCTGGAAACATCTTTCCCAAAAATAAGCATGTCATCAACATACAATAACAGGATAATAAAGTCATCATCAGAAAACTTTTTAACAAAGACACAATGATCAGAAGTAGTCTTCTTGTAGCCTTGCTCACACATAAAAGACTCAAACTTCTTATACCACTGTCTTGGAGCCTGCTTCAGACCGTATAGACTTTTTCTTAGCCTACATACACAGTCTTCCTTGCCTTTAACCTAAAAGTCATCAGGTTGTTTCATATAAATCTCTTCCTCCAAATCACCATGAAGGAAAGCAGTTTTCACATCCATTTTCTCTACCTCTAAATTAAGAGTAGCTGCCAAACTCAAAATTGCTCTAATGGATGACATCTTCACCACAGGTGAGAAAATCTCATTGAAATCAACACCCTTTCTCTGTTTAAAGCCTTTCACCACTAATCTGGCTTTGTACCTTGGAGATGTAGAATTACTTTCTTGCTTCACCTTGAAAATCCACCTGTTTTCTAAGGCCCTCTTGCCCTTAGGCAATTTCACCAAGTCATAAGTGTGATTATCATGTAAAGATTTCATCTCATCTTGCATTGCATCCAACCACTGTTACTTTTCTTCACTTTCTAAAGCCTCTTCAAAACATTCAGGTTCTCCACCATCAGTCAAGGTCACATACTCATCAGAAGAATACCTTTTTGAAGGTTGTCTCTGTCTATTAGACCTCCTGAGTTGAACTTTGATGTGGTTCAGGTGCATCATCAATATTCTCATCATGAGACATTTCATGCTCCTCCTGGTCATCATCAATAGGAACATTTAATCCACCTCCAAGTTGTTGATTGTCAACATCATCATGTTGTTCACCAGGTTGAACACTACCATCAACATTATCCAGATTGTGAATAGGTAATCGCATAGGATCAACATCAGTCAGATTCCTATCTTTCTCGGGTGTAGTCTTTTCCACCTTATCAATGTCTTCAATAGTTTGGTCTTCCATGAACTGTACATCACGGCTTCTAACAAGCTTCTTCTCAACAGGATCATAAAACCTGTAGCCAAATTCATCCTCACCATAACCAATAAAGATGCATTGTCTTGTCTTTGTATCCAACTTGGATCTTTCATCCCTTGGAATATGGACAAATGCCTTGCAACCAAAGACACGCAAATAATCATAGCTTGCATTCTTGCCAAACTAAATTTTTTCTGGCACCTCGCTGTTAAGAATAACAGTAGGAGTGAGATTAATAACATGCACCGCCGAGTATAGTGTCTCACCCCAGAAATGCTTGGATAATTTAGCATCTGAGAGCATACATCTCACCCTCTCAAGCAATGTCCTGTTCATCCTCTCCGCTAAACCATTCAACTAAGGAGTTTTAGGAGGAGTCTTCTCATGTGCAATACCATGTTGCTTGCAATAAATATCAAAGGGTCCACAATACTCACCACCATTGTCAGTACGAATGCGTTTCAGCTTCTTCCCTGACTGTCTTTCAACCAAGGCATGAAATTGTTTGAACCTCTCCAACACCTGATCTTTTCTCTGCAAAGTATAGACCCATAGTTTCCTGGAACAATCATCAATAAAGATAACAAAGTAAAGTGCACCACTAAAGGATTTCACCTTCAATGGACCACAAACATCAGAATGTACCAATTGCAACAACTCTGACTTCCTTGAGGGAGGATGCTTCTTGAAGGATACTCTGGTTTGCTTGCCAGCCATGCAATGAGAACATTTCTCCAATTCTGCACTCTTCAACCCTTGAAGAACATCCTTTTGAGCTAAGCAATTCAATCCCTTTTCACTGATATGACTAAGCCTTCGGTGCCACAAAGATGCCTCCATATCCATGGCATTCACACTGTCTTTAGCAACCAAAGCTTTTGTCCAATACAGTTTAGAATTTTTCTCCCCTTTAGCCACAACCAAGTTACCTTTGGTGAGTTTCCACTTTCCAGAACCAAAGTGGTTATCATAACCACCATCATCAAGTATCTGCACAGAGATCAAATTAAAACGGACATCAGGAGCATGTTTGACTCCTCTAAGCAACAACTGCATTCCCATGTTGGTTTGCAGGCAAACATCACCAACACCAATCACTTTAGACACACCATCATTACTCATCTTCAACACTCCAAAATCACCAGAAGTGTAAGATGTGAAGAACTCCTTCCTTGGTGTAACATGTAGTGTAGCACCACTATCAACAATCCACATGCTCTCATCTGATACAAGATTAACTGACCCATGGTCATTGAGAATAACAAGATCACCACAAGTAGTAGTAGCAACACGATCATCATCATCATGATCTTTTTCTTTCTGCTTACCCTTCTTGCCTTTATTCTCCTTTTTTCACAGAAAACAATTCCTCTATATATGCCCTGTTTTGTGACAATAATGACACTCCACATTCTTGTATCTAGACTTGAACTTACTCCTGCTCTTTTCTCTACCACCCTTCAGTTCCTTCTTCTGACTTCTCCCCCTGTTTTCAATGACAAGCACCTCAGACTGAGATGAAGAACCCTGTGCCTTCCTTCTCATCTCTTCATTAAGAGCACCACTCTTTGCCGCTTGCAAAGAAACAACACCATTAGGGGCCGAGTTGGTAATAGAAACCCGAAATGTCTCCCAAGACTCAGGTAAAGTATTTAGTAGCCATAGTCCCAAAACTTCATCATCAAATTTGATACCCATTCCGGATAACTGATCTAGGAGCCCTTGAAATTCATTCAAGTGATCTGAAATGGAAGAACTTTCCCTGTACCTCAAATTCATCAGACAATTCAACAAATACAATTTATTATTTCCTGATTTAGAAGCATACAAGGACTCAATCTTCTCCCATAAAGTTCTAGCATGTGTCTCATTTGCAATGTGATTATAAACATTGTCTTCTACAAATTGTCGAATAAAACCACACACCTGTTGGTGTTCAAAGTCCTAATCTTCTTCAGACATAGAATCCGGCTTTTGAGTAGTAAAGACAGGAAGATGCATTTTCTTCACAAATAGCAAGTCTTTCATCTTGCCCTTCCACAAGTGATAATTAGTGTCATTCAAAGCAATCATTTTAGTATTTGCCTCCATCATTCAAGCAAGTCAAATAGCCCCAAACCAAAGCCAACAAGAGCTTTAATGCCACTCTGATGGGGAAACAGCAACACAATAACAATACAGAGCAAACTCAAACAGTTATCGCAGCGGAAATAAATTCCCCAAACTTGCAAGAATCTGTAAGGAGCAACAACCAATGAAAAACAATAATAAATCACCAAAAATCACACACAGAGACACCAAGATTTTTAACATGAAAAACCCCTCAAAGTAAGGGTAAAAATCACGAGTCGTCCAAACCAAAGAAATAGCTCCACTATGATCAACAAACAGTACAAAAGAGTCTCAGTCTACTGCACAAAATAGTGCTAACACCCAGCCAAA